ACATAATAGCAGTGATCAGTTCCGGGTGGGGGCTGCCTGGCTGTTCTTAGCAGTGCAAGGGAGTGCTCCCATCTGTTGTCTCAGGGGCTGGAAAACCGTCGTGGAGTAATCTATACGGATAGGGTGCCCTCTAATGGTGTGTTTTTCTGGTGACAAGATGTCTCTGCTAGGAGAATAACAGGCGTTGCTCTTGGCTGTTCAAGTGCTACAAGTTGAACCAAGGACTGGATTGTTAAATTAGGAGATGTACTTTCTTCTCTCGAGGAAGCAGTTAAATACTACAAGTACATGACCAAAGCAAGCCAAAGGTGTTAGATCTTTCTGTACAGGATTGCTAGTGAGGCTGTACTACTTTCCCAAACTCACGTAAGCTCCTTTGGGGCTACGGGCCTACCACATGTGCTAACAGCACCTTCAGACATAAGGGTCTGTAGCTAAGCTGCTATGAAATGGTGTGAGGTAAGGGTTTGTTCACCTTTCTCTGGTGACCAGCATATGACAGTTATGTTGTCTTTAATGTGGTTTATGTAAAAAGTGTGTGCTGGTGGAAGAAATGACAAGAATGGCTTTTTTTTTTTCCTGTGTGGACCTTCTAGGGTGGTTTCATTAACCTGAAGATGGCAACACTAATCTTTATTGATAAGGAGAATGGTGAAGTTGGTGCTACTAAGAATCAGCTAAGACTCCCTTCTGGATCTTGTGCGTATATACTGCCCTCATCCAGCATGGGATCAAGTGAAATGCATAAATCATGTTTTGTTATTCACTGTTTTGAATATTATAGTTTTCTGTTCTTTTATCTACTTACCTAACCAATTCTGCCAAGCTCAATTACTATGAAAATAACTCCTTACCTAACCAATTCTGCCAAGCTCATCAATTACTATGAAAATAACTCTGATTTTCTCATAGATGAGGCTTATGCTCCTGAGTTATAAATAGTGAACAGTGATTTCTGACAACTAGTTTTCCAGCACATATACTTCCTGTAGCAAGCTTTAGGGTTGATATGGTGCTGAAGCTTTCTTTTCTTTCCCATGCTCCAGCAAAAGTCTTATCTGAAAGAACACAAGTTAACACTCCGCTTGCTAAAAAAACAATCAGTACACCTCCTGTCACATCTCGCTCTGTCAGAAAGGCTCTTGGAAATGTGAATAGAACTGGAAGACTCGCAAGCAACACAGAAAAGATAAGACAGAAAAATCAACCTTGCACTGTAAACAAAGTGAGTACAACACACATCTCTCAGGAGGGAAAAAATGTGTCGTTTACCTACTATTGTGGCTTAGCCTTGACAGGCAGCTAAGCACTGCACAGATGCTTGCTCTCTTTCTCCCCAGTGAGATGTAGGAGAGAATTGGAAGAGTAAAAGTGAGGAAACTCGTAGGTTGAGATTAAGAAAATTTTAATAACTAAAGATCTCGAAGACAAACCCGAATTTTGACCACCATCTGACTGATGCCTTGCCAAACCCTGACCACCATCTGACTGATGCCTTGCCAGACCCTGAGCAACAGCAGTGCTGGCAAACTTCCCCACCAGTTCCACTGCTTAACATGATGCTGTATGGAATGTTGGTCAGTTGAGTTGGGGTCAGCTGTCCTGGCTGTGCACCTGCAGCCTACTCAGTGGTGGGGTTGTGAGAAGCAGAAAAGGTCTTCACTCTGTGTAAGCACTGCTCAGAAATATCATGAATCCAGAATGTGGCATCATATGAGCTACTAAGAAGAAAAATAACTATCCTAGCAAAAA